ATGGCATCTTCAAAGATGCTGATGTTTCGCTATCCATAAACCCCACAGGAGTATTGACTTTTTGTGTTTTAGTAATTTGAGACAGGGGGCCCGGTTCTTAGAAACCATGTGACATTCCAGGGGAAAGTATTCCAACAACACTAATAAAAAAAAACACCAGAGAAACAGTCATTTGCATTAGTCACATGTTGTTGTTGTCTTTCCATTTTCTATACTAGCTGCATGCCCGTGCTGACATAACGAGATTAACGCTGACAGCACTAATTTATCTTTTAAATAGTTTCAGCTTCTTAGTGGTGAAAATCTGCTTCTTATCTTTGTGTTATGTAAAAGAACACTGAACATAGTTGGTAGTTTGCGTTGTTGATTGAAGAAAGAAAGACATTTGAGGACGTCATCAGAGGCTAAACTGAGATGGACTTTTCACTATTTCCTAATCTTTTTATGGCGCGTGAAATGAATCAGGGAATTCAGAACAGATTTATCAGTACCAATACTGCTGCACTTCGGTCATGTGTATATGGGATTCTATACACTTGGCAGTAAATGGCGAGCATGACATCAAGCAGGTTTAGTATAAAAACAGAAGTTTGTTCACGTGGTTCATTAAATGCAAACAGAAAAATGGTGTCGTCATAGGAAATGCAATCCACAGTGGGATGGTGATGCCATCATTAGCTTTTTCAGTTGTAGGATGCATGACTGCATGGTCATGGTGTGCAAAGCATGCATAACTTGGATAGCTTCTTGGGCCACGTTGGGCCACATGTGAGACTCTGTGACTCTGTGATGCTTCTGTATGCGGCACATGCAGCATTCGGTCATGTCTCTGTACCCATTTAGATGTTTATAAAGACACTCGGCTGTCCCTTTAAATTTCTGTGAAGGCTTTCATGTATTTAGATGTTCATTTTTAACACAAAGTACGTATGGTTCGCAGGTCATCTATGCTTTAATTTGTACAACTTTACATGTGTGAGAAACAGTTGTGAATACATCTACTTTAAGACAGATTTGTCTTTGAACACATAACAATTTCAGTTTTATTAAAAATATCTTAGAAACTTTTGGAGAATCACAAGAACATAAGCAAATATATGTTTTATGTCTTAACTCCTCTCTTAGCTGTGATGTTTGGTCCTTGACTTCCTGAGTAGGATCAGCTTTGGTCAATTTCATTTTTCAGTGAAATGGACTTTGATCTTTGAGCATTCAAATACACTTAAATGCAAAACACTGAATGAGGAAGCACATGCAAAGACAAACCTTTTATTTATGCTTGTGCTTTGAGCCTTACCAGCCTGTATTTAAATGGACTTTGTTTGTGGCCCCTGCCACTCGTGTATCTGCCTCAGGCCTGAGTGTTTCTCCCGAATCCTCTCAGCGTGCCCATTACGTAACACGTCTGCCACAGTCTACTCCCTGTCCTCCAGAAGTCCTTTGATGCTGCTGCACTGACATCCTGGTGTTCGGCATGTCGCAGCACTTAGCCTCTGAGTTATATTTTCCTATGAGACATCCATCATTTGTCAGAAAATGATACTGCACTTAGTGAAAACATACAGCAGCCACTTTGCCAGGCTGCCAGCATGACTGGCTGGATGGCAGTACAGGTCTGTCAAGTCGGGTCTGTAGCTTGAAGTCGGATCATTTCAAGCCTAAAATGATGAGTGCATGCGTCTAACATAAGTTGAAGTCTAAGAAAAGAAGTGAAGCTAGCTGGATTTTCCCTTTTTCCCATACCTAATGGCAGCAGCAGTGGTAACTTGAGCTGAGCTCTCACCGTGAGCAGTGAGCCCAAATGGCATCTGCTGAAGACATTTTTGCTTTTCTTTTTGAAGTACAGGGCTCAACAGTTCCCCATCTGCCCAACAGTAGCCACCAACACAGCTATTGAAGAGGCCTGTGAATAGACTATATGATACATACTAGGGCTGCCACAAACGATTATTTTGATAGTCGACTAGTCACCGATTAATTTTGCGATTAGTCGACTAATCAGATCATCATCCATTGAACGTAAAACGTACAGCTTATTGCACCAGCAGCATCTGCTCTTATATAACTATCATTAGCTTACAGCTTTAAGTGTTTAAGGTCTGTGCTAACTAAAAATAAAGACAAGATGATAGTTTATTAAACTTTTAATGAAATTTGCAGATTGTTTCGGTGAAGTTTAATAAACTCCTTGCTATCTAAAATATAACAGGACACCGGAGTATATTCTCGAGCATCTCACACTTCTGATAATCAGCTGTCTGCTTGACGTTTATTCAGCTGTGTAAAAACTATAACTTCAATCTCAGCCAAACCGATTTACTCAGGAACAAATAAAATACTAAAGAAAGCCAAACAATAACAACAAGTTATCTAAGTGACTCATATATCATGTTTAACCTGAGTAGCGAAAGACGGCGGTGGGTTTGAAAACGATTTGCCGGGAGTCCGGTGTTCTCACGGCTCTAGTGAGCCTTGCCCCCAGCTAGCTATCGAGCTAGTGGGTAACAGACGTCTCCGAAAACGTCGGAGCGCTTTTGAAAATATGTGGTGTCTTGATAAACTGAGCAGATATTTGAGGTTTACACAGCTACATTCTCGCCTGAACATATGTTAAATGTTTATTTTGTGACCCAGAAAGAATAATAAGAGTAATATTAAAACTAACTAGCTGCCGCCATTGTTGGAAACTGAGCTGGGCCGCGCTATGAATTCTGGGACACAGCTTCTTCTTCTTCGGGGTTTAACGGCAGCTGGCATCCTTGTACATGCAGTGCTGCCATCTTCTGTTTCAGTCCGTTATTACACTCTTAAATCCTACTACTTATTCCTGCGTCTTTTGTGATCTTACAAAGCTTCAAACGAGGCGTCTACTATTAAATTAGTCGTCGACGATTTTGATAGTTGACGTAATCGTGACTAGTCGACTAATCGTGGCAGCCCTAATACATACATAGACATAGGCTGGATGTTTGGCATTTAGCGGGGTAATTGCTAATGCTAATCCCTTAAGCCTATTATTCATATTGTGTTGATGGGGTGTGTCAGTTCACTATAGTTTTTTGTTTTTTAGATGTTTTGCAGCAACTCGCACAACATCTTTCTGTCTCTGTGAGTATTAGAAGATCTCAAGGCGGCAGCACAGTTCTGCTTCACTTGGATCTGGAAGGTGAACAGTTGTTTGTAGGCTGATTCATATTGTGGAACATGTCACCTCATTCTGCACAGGCATGTAGACATTTGAAAAGAGGGCTGAAAGTGCTGACACGGTCTGTGTTTTAAAGTGTTTTCTTGCTCTCCATGTAATATTGTATTTACTAGCAAGTTAGTTGTTAGGAAGAATCCCTAGTTATTGTAGCTACTCCAACGTCTCAGCTGTGATGGGATGAATTAGGATGAGATTCAGTGCAGATGTTCATGTTCCCCAGAGGAAGAACTCTAATTACTTTGATGGCTTTTCATCTTGTAAACAATGATGTACACATTGATGGTTTTCAGAGAAATGTCTGTTGTAGCCAATTGGTTTGTTTTCACCTCAGCAACTCAACTGAAGTTCTATCATGAACAGTTCTTTGACATCAACAGCGATGAGTGAAAAGTGGAGGTGTGTGTGAGTCTTTACACGCAGCATCAAACACTTCATTACGGTGTTTTCTCTGTGGCTCGCTGCTCTGCCAAGAGAACTGGCACGAATCAGTGGGAAAAGTACAGGAATGTGAGGTAACACGATGCCAAAACAAAGGTACAAGCTGTCACTGATATGCTGCAAGAAGCCTCGTTGTAAACTCAGACCTGCACTTTCCTTTTTCCTTGTTTGTTTTTGCACCTTGGTGTGATGCAGTGCAGCTCAACAGCAACATTAAGCTTTTAAAATTGAACCAGCGCATCGTTCAAGCTTAGAATTTTCTGCAAGCGCTTTATGTTTAATTTAAAATGGTTTAATTTTGTTTTTGCAAGGTTTACTTCATAATAGAGGTGGGAATCACCATACATCCCACGATACGATATTATTGCAATTTTTAAAAATATTTTGCGATATTCAGATTCTGTACATAAAGGTAAACTTTATCAATATTCATTTTATCTAATATCAAAGTCTCGCACTCAGTCTTTCTCTCATTTCAGTTTTATTGTTGACAAACTGAACGGTTTGTATTACAGTCTAGTCCAACTTAACTGAATGCAACCATCTGGTACAATTATAGCTATTCTGAACTATGCAATTTATGAAAACTATGCAGCCCCTTCAGCAACTGAAGAATTTGAAAGTAAATTAAAACAAAATATAATTTTACATTAAATAAAAAAGTTTTAAACTTAATTAAAATAAAACACGTCTTAAATTAAAAGAAGTAAACTGTCATGTTTATTGCTGCCATAACAAAAGTTAAACACATTTGGACAGTGAAGGAATGTCAGGATTCTTGCTCAGAAAAAGGATCAACGTGCTCTGAAGTCAGAGCACAAAAACTTTTTTTGTAACAAAATATCGATTTCTGCTGTCCCTGTATCGATACATTATTAGCAAACAAAATATCACGATACTACACAGTATCGATTTTTTCCCCCACCTCTACTTCATAAGCTGACAAACAGGAGTGCTACAGTATGCTTCATAGTTACTAAACAGACTGAAGCATTTCCTGTAATTTTTTTTGTGGCCTGACCTTTGAACTCCTTACTGTTTATCTCCTCGTTGACCTTTGACCAGCAGCATGTAATATGTATTTTTTTACAGGTTATTTTTTACAGTTTCATTGCTTTGTTTTCTACCTTGCAGCCTAATGTAAGAGCCTATAAATTCATGCCACAGATTACAGTAGTTGTGATGTAGTTTGTAAACCAGAAGTATAGAAACAATGCGTCCTCTATAGTAATGTCAGGAAACGGAGAGGAGACACAATTGAGGGCACGCCTAAAGAAAAGCATGACCTTTCCATTAGAGCTGTTTAAATAAATGTAAATCGTGTTTTTAACTGATACATTTCCATCTTCTATTCCAGGTCCATTATCCAGATGTGGAAAGAGTGGAATGGCTGAATAAGGTATATACACCTCTTTCTTTTTTTCTTTATATTATATTTAAATTAATTTTTGTGCTTAGACACCTACTCGCACACCGCCTTACATCCTCAACAGTAGTCTGCCAGCTAGCAGAGGCAGACAGGCAGGGTTTATAAATAGGATCTGAATCTGGAGCTCTGAGAGACCCTGACCCAGTGCTTCCACCTCCCCAGAGAGAGACACGGAGGTGGGGAGAGAGTGAAGGAGAGAGATGCAAAGTGAACTAGAGAGGGAGAGAGAGTGAGTCTTAACATCAGAAGAGCACCACTTACTGTAAATGTGTACAGGTCCTTCCAGTAAAAAGGTAATGGATGAAGATGAGCAGGAAAATATCTTTTTAACATCTGTTTATGGGAACACAGAAAATCATTTGAAAGGCAAATAAAAACCAGAGGTATTCTCCTCTAAAGCAAAGAAATGGCCATAACTTACCTGTAACATGGCAATCAATAGTTCTGATTATCACCACACAGATGGGCCCTTTCATAGGAGGATGGAGTGAGGGACAGCCAGGGCTTTGGTGGCTTACTCTTTATTGGATTCAAATGTCTTCTAAAGTATTGCTAAATGTTTCAATAAATGTTAAATTAGGATATAAAAAAATAATTTCTTACAAAGACCTTCATTTATTTAGTAAATGTACTGTAAATGTCACTTCATTTATTAAATGTGATGATCACCAGTGAATGTATGTGATGGATAATTACTCCCTCATTTCCCTCAGATTAGGATTTTGACATGTAGCTGCGTTGCTCAGCTCAGGCAGATTAGATGATTTTACATTTTTCGCACCCAAACACAGAAGTGAGGAGCGTGCTCCTGTACAGAAGCCTGAAAAGTCATGTCGTCCGCTGCCAACAGATATCGCTCAGTTCATTGCTTCTTCATCTGGATCAAATAGGTCATAATGAGCAGAACTTCACCTGCCATAACATCAGACCTCTGTGAACCTTTAATGCTCCTGGTCACTGTAATCAAAGGACGGTTTATAGCAGCTCATAGTGTTCACCTGAGGGCACAGAGCATTTTTACACTTTTAGAGGATTTTACAGGGAAGTTTGCACTCATAATATGACTCTGTCATTTCTGTGGTAGTGAAATTTCTGAGTGTGGCTTAGTGAATGGATGTTAAAGCAACAATCTGGTAACTTCTTAAGGCATCCGTAACGTTAGTGTGTATGCTTATTAATGCTGACATATTCAGTGTGTTTTGTTATGTGACAGGAGACTCGGTTACACTTGGACTCAAAATGCTCGTAATAATTAGAAGTGTCGTGCAAAGTTTGAGTGCATTATTTCTCTCGCTGTGATTGCACAAGGAATTTTTGCGAGGTGATATTATTTTAATGCATTAGCAGCAGCAACTGAAGGTCAGGTGAAGGAGCAGCTGAGAGTAATTGCAGGGTGGTTTCTTTTATCCCGTGGACTATAAAAATGACCTCGTTTGGCAAAGGTGTTGGCAACACAACACTGATGATAAGAAATACAGCTGTAAGACATATTTTTGATTGATGTTTACCTGTAATGGCTGTGAGGGTATAATATTATACAGTGTGATGTAATATGATGTAATGTGAAGCAATACGTTTTATTGCCCGTCAGGGGGATTTCAGATTGGGCACAAATGGTGCAAATAGCTGCACATGTAGTTACAGAAACACAGGAGTCTTGGTAACAGCTTCTCAATTGCAGTAGTAAGTATAGACAATCTAAAGTATGACAAACACAGTGACAGTTGAAAGTACACCGATCTCTGCATTGTTTGTCATTTGAACTAAATTGGTATAGTGCAACAAACACACAAGCGTTTGCAGAGAGATGCCAGGTAATTGTCTTTCACCAGGTCTGCTGTAAAACATGAGGCTTGTCCAGCAGCTGCATGCATCAGTGCTCAGTGACTGTTCAGGCTGTGGGCTGAAGGATTTTGGGCTGTGGGATTTGGATGTCTTGTATCTAATTCTTTCTCCCACATGGTTTTTCTCTTTTCCCTTCCTCAGACGGTGAAGCAGATGTGGCCGTTTATCTGCCAGTTTGTGGAGAAGCTGTTCAGAGAGACCATCGAGCCGGCGGTGAAGGGCGCCAACCCTCATCTCAGCACCTTCTGCTTCACCAAGATTGACATGGGCGACAAGGTGACAAGATAAGAACACGGTGTTGTGAATGCACTCCAAAAGGCCATGGCAGGACACTTCTGTAATCTGGGTTATTCGTACTAATACACCAGCTAGCACTTTGTTTTATAGGCTTTTATTGCCTGTAGAATAACACTTTTATTTTTAGATGTTAGCTTTGTGGGAAATCCTGGAGAATTAGTGTCATGGACGTTTTAGGCAGCACCATCTGTCACAGTGTACGTGTTCAGATCTTTTATCGCATGTTTCTATTTGTGACTCCCTCGTTGACTCGCATGAACTGATTTAATCAGAACTGGAAAGTTTCTTCGCCACGCACCCAGATTTACCTCACACGTAGAATTATGCAGAGCTAGTAAACATTAAATAAAGCTTTTACTGCATGTCTTCTCTTTTTTTCTGCAGCCGCTGAGAGTGAATGGAGTGAAAGTTTACACAGAAAATGTGGACAAGAGGCAGGTTATCATGGACCTGCAGATCAGGTAGACCGCTCAGATTCATTCATTGTTGAATTCACTTGACTTGGCCAGTGATGTAATCTTAATTGCACTTGTTTCTTTCAAATTATGACTTCTTATGTACAAATCTTAGCGTCAGGCTGTCGTTTAAAACCTATAGTTTGTTTAATTTGGTCTGAATCAGTTGATGAGTTTTTAGTTTGTTGTCACACAGAGAAAACTCGTTACTTCAGTAAATGTTTATTAAAGTGCTCATTTTGTGCGCTTCCTTTTTCTCAGGATCATAATTGGTAATAATTATCAGTTGTATTACCTGATTGTTTTTTTCCAAATAGAAAGGAACATTTCCACGCACTCGTTTTTTGAGCCCATGCAGAAATGCTCACTGACACATCAAATGTAGATTAAGTCACCGTCAAATTAGTCAAATAGATTTGGATGGTGGATGTACAGCACTCTCATCAGTTTGTGTGTAAACTTGCCCTTTAAAATCTGAATAAATGCATGATGCGTTTTTATTTTTATCTTCATATGAATACACACATGAATCCCCTTCTACGTTCTTCTTGCCCTTCCTTTCAGTTTTGTCGGGAATACAGAAATTGACGTGGACATCAAAAAGTACTACTGCAGGGCTGGAATCAAAAGTATACAGGTACGAATCCAAGATAGATGCAACATGTTAAGGTCAGTAGTTGTATGGCTATTTATCCCATATAAAGACATGAAAAATACAAAGTCCGTTGTCACAACACTTTCTGCTACAAATGGTAAATGGCCTGTATTTATATAGCGCCTTACTAGTCCCTAAGGACCCCAAAGCGCTTTACATATCCAGACTCATCCACCCATTCACACACACATTCACACACTGGTGATGGCAGCTACATTGCAGCCACAGCCACCCTGGGGCGCACTGACAGAGGCGAGACTGCCGGACACTGGCGCCACCGGACCCTCTGACCACCACCAGTAGGCAACGGGTGAAGTGTCTTGCCCAAGGACACAACGGCCAAGACTGTCCAAGCCGGGGCTCGAACCAGCAACCTTCCGATTACAAGGCGAACACCCAACTCTTGAGCCACGATCACCCCAAACAACGAGTCCCTCCATCTTCTGCTTTTCCAGTTCAGGGCCCAGTAGGAGTATAGATAACCAGTGTAGATGATCAACAAACAGTCACACCTACAGCCTGTTTACTATAACCAGTGACCCTAACATGCGTGTCTTTGGACTGTGAAAAGAATGCCAGAATACCCGGAGCGAACTCATGCGGACACGGGGAGAACGTGCAAATTCCACAAAGAAAGGCTGGTGGATTTAAACTCCGTGGTGTAAGGTGACAGTGCTAACCTCCACACTGCTGTACCCAAAACTACAAGTCCATTAATTCAATAGTCTGAAAACTGAAAGTGCAAAAACTGAGACAGGAAATCAGTCATGTTATTTATTTTATTAAAACCTCCTGCATGAGTCATCACCGTTCCCTTGGAGTCCAATGACGACTCATCCAGTAACTTTGGGCGGATGGCCGTTCCTGGGAAGGTTCACCACTGTTCCGTGTTTTGTCCATTTGTGGTTAATGGTTCTCACTGTGGATTTCTGGAGTCTCAGAGCCTTAGAAATTTTTTTTTTTTTACATAGTAAATTTTAGGTGCCAGGAACAAATGAATGTCTGGAAATTCTCCCTAATAAATAAAGTGGCTGATTTAATGGACATAAAGTTGTTATTCAAGTTTGATCCTTGAAATAGTCCTAGTGGTAGCAGAAGTAGTAACAGTTTCTAAAAAAACAAATGAATGAAAAACTTAAAAACACACACTGTACCCCAGCGGTGACTTCTACATTAAGTACTGACCACTGCGGAGAAAGTTAATTGCATCATGTGTTTACACAGAACTGATAACGAGACGTTATCCACTCAGCTGTTGGCACAGGATCAGACCATATTTGCTGACCAGAGATCAGAGTGGGAGAGAAGACCCAAAGATTTACAGAGAGAAATGGCTACGTGTACGAAGCCCAGTCGATGTTTTCCTTTTGTGTTTGGCTCAGATTGTAGAGCTTCAGCCCCCGACGGTGTGTCAGCATTTCATAGGCTGCTGAAGATATAAGTAGTTTAAATGGAGAAGATGTGAACTGGGAGCTTATCATGCTTCATGAGTCATTCGGGTTTACTCTCCTCCACTCGCTGACTGTCGACTTTTTTTTTTCTTTTCTTTTTTGCTGTCACATCTTTTATTTAAAAAGGTATCTTCTTCCTCCCAGCGGGCCTCTGATGGAGCATTATCAGCTGCACATGACTTCTAAAGCATCCTCCTTCAGGGAGAAATGAGCTGCAGGACGGAAAGTGGTATAAACAAGAGGCTATCTGCAGTCTTTCCGCTGCACGCCCGTTTCGATGTGCAAAATGCTGGTATTTGATTACTCAGAGCAAGCTACAACCAAATTTGGTGCTACAGACGGCCAGTCTGCATGTCTGAGGTTTGAGTCACTGCAGCCTCTGAGAAACCTGCATCCAAAATAAAGAAACATTCACTTAACTGTGAAGTTTGTGTTTGCAGACTTTCTTCATTCTCAGGGCCTCAAAATTAGGATTACAGTAGGCTTAATGATTACAGTATATGTGAGTCTGTTAGTACAGCCGATCTAGTTATATTTTGTGTTCTTGCAGGAAGTGGGAAATAAACTCGCTGGTTCTTTTTTCCTCTTTCATCCACCGTGTATTTTGAGCTGCTGTTCCACTGTTCTGTGTGGATAACATTACATACACCCAACCACCACCCACGCCTCGCGGGTGAACACAACAGAAATCTGAATAGACTCTGTATATATGGTAAAAAAACTATATAGAGACATTATTCCTCAGTATTTTACAGATTTTTGACTCACAGTCTGAAATAATCGCTGCTCGTTCAACAAGAATTGTCAGAATTTAATCAAATTTGTCTCTTAATGGGTCGTTGCCCAATTTGTGTTCACTGTGCATTTTTACCACAGTATTGATCCGATTCTACTCAAACTAATGGGTCCTCACACAATATTCATTGTTGCTGGTGGATTTTGGTCATTATTTCTCGTAATGCAGCAAAACGGTAACAAGAAAACATCACTTTCTCTCTACTTTAAACATTACAGCAACCTGTGATGGATTGCGGGCTGTGAGTGAAAAAAAGTCAAATTGAATGCAAAACACAAACAGGAGAAGAAAGACCGTCTCCTGACTGACAATCCTGTGACCTATTATCCCACCCATCCATTCACCTAAGCTGGACTTTGTAGATCTCTAAAATGAGTCTGTTATCTCTCAGTAGCCAATAATATGCTGTGACGGCTGTAACCCTGTTGGATTTGTTACGGGGAAGCAATCAAACTTAAAGATGAAACAAAACAGTCCCCTGTCTTACTTTTTTTTTTTTTTTTTTTTTTTTTCCTCTGACCTGGATTCTGAGGCTTAACAGGTAATTGAGGGGAAGAAAAAAATAGAGTTAAGGATTAGATGGTCCTGCAGGCTGTGAATGACCAGAAGCAATAATTTGGGTAAACTTGTCTGTGAACGCAAACAGAAAGCAAGTCACTTGGATCAGAGATGAAACAGAATCAAGTTTTAGGGCTCACGGATGTAACCTGGACCAGGCTAAAAAACAAAAGACTCATTTGTGATGTTTCTTTCTTTTTCTCTGTTCAGCTTCATGGAGTGATGAGAGTGGTGATGGAGCCGCTGCTGGGGGACATCCCTCTGATCGGAGCCCTTTCTGTCTTTTTCCTCAAGAAACCTGTGAGTACTTTAACTTTTGGCAGCCTCTAAAATGCGTTCAGGTCTTGTTGTTTTCATTATGTTTCCTGGTCAGATTTTTACATTAACGAGTCCCCAAATGCTTTGTTTTCGTTGCGCCTTGATCTGCATTGCAAAAAAGGGGAATATCAAGCTTTTTACATGAAAACACACGCACACGCAAACTTTGAGCTAATAACTTGCAGAGTTCTAGCATACCAGCACCAGCTGTTATCACTGAGATCTTATTGCTTTTCTTTGCCTGATGGTGGTCCTGCTGGTACTGTGCACTCTGCCACCTACCACAGCGCTTTTCTCTTCAGTCTTCTTGAAGGCAGCCTAACTCAAGCCCTCCTTTATCAGTGCATTCCTTCTCTTTGACTGCTGCCTTCCTTCCTGTGCTTCAACACGGTCCCTCTTCTAGATTCAGTCTTTGATGGTGGCACTCAGAGGAAAAATATTTGCTATCATAATCTTCAAATAGAAATGTGAAATTGCCCCTGTCTCAATAAACATACATCTTCAGTCTGGAATTAGTAGGAGGAGGCTTTCGTGGAGTTTTGAACTAAACGATGAAGCTTGTGGTTCAGATGTGAACCAGGAGGAAGTCAGGGCGGATACAAGTGATTTTATCTCTCTCTGCTGTCAAACAAGGTGGGGAGAGCTCAGGCAGATCTTTGCTGACATGGAACATACATCAAACAATAAAGAGTTTCAGATGAGGCCAGAAAATGAAATCAAATTCTTGATTTTCATAGATGTTTTTGTGCAGAATTAGAATAAGACTGTTCAAGTCTGTCAGATCATTTATGTCATCTGCATATGTGTGAAGTGCCCTGACAGGGTCCCTCTTCTAATCTTTTACCACAAAGGATCTAACAAAAAAGGAGCGACTGCTGACACATTTATTATGACATTGTAACATCAGTGTTGTCTCTTGTAAAATGTATTTGTAGGACTTCAACTTAGAAACTGGCTTTTCTAATAATTTACTACAGAGATGTCCTAGGGCAAGGAGCCAAACACTGATACGCAGTGTTCACTTCAAGCATATAAGGTCAGATCCTGTCTGTCAGGAAGCTTTTCACCTCTTAAGGCATTTTAATCATTTTCCTTTTCAGGATGTTTTAAAAATCCTTCCTGATTGAGTTGTATTGTACTTCCGGATGTAATGAGTGTAGTAATGTGTAACGTGTGAATTTACACAGTGCAGTTTTGTAAGTCAAAGCAACAGATCACTCGCCAAATTTGTCCTCTGCTCTGTAGTGTCGTTTATCCTCGTTGATTATTTTGCTGTAAATTGCCCAGTTCCAGAGATGACGCCTGCCCTCTTTTGATGATCATGGAGCTTGATGACATTCACCAATCTGGTGCAACAATTGTATTTAACGAGGAAAAAAAACAAACAAACCCTCAACAGCTGTGTCTCTTTCCAAGAAATAGTGACCTGATTATTCAAATAAGCTGTTCTGTGTAAGAACTATTGTTTTTCTACAAGCTAGCTAT